GCTGGGATGGAGCTGAATCCTCTCCACACCTTTCCCCCTGAGTAACTGAGGCTGCTGTGATGCCTCAGGTTGTAGCTTTTTTATTTTTCACATTCTGTGCTGCTTTAGTATGTGGGTCTGGGCTTCATATTATGGGATGGTGAGCTCTGTGCACAGAGCAGGGAGACAAAACAATTCCTGCTCCAGCTGGGCACCAAGGACAAATTGTCACAGTCCTATTTTCTGAAAAATCCCTTTGCCAGGATTTCTTCTCCTGGGAAGCTGAGAAGCCTCAGAGAAAAAGGAAAACAATTTTATCTCATTTGCTCCTCCTGTGTTTTGCTGCTTTGGAATGTGGTTGGAGATTGTTTATCCAACATGTGAATTATTTTAAGTTAATGACCAACGACAGTCAGGCTGTGACCAGACTCTGGAAGGAGTCACAAGTTTTCATTATCATTCTTTGTAGCCTTTTGTCTGTATTCTTTCTCTATTCTGTAGTATAGCTTTAATATAGTATTCTTTAATATAATATAATATCATAAAATAATAAATTAGCCTTCTACGAACATGGAGTCAGATTCATCATTTCCTCCTTCGTCCTGGGGACCCAGCAAATACCACAACAAAAACAATTATGGGATGGTGAGCTCTGTGCACAGAGCAGGGAGACAAAACAATTCCTGCTCCAGCTGGGCACCAAGGACAAATGATCCAAATCTCAGCCCAGGAGCACAAAGCCCGTGGGCTGCAGAGAGAAAAACAAGCAGGATGGGAGTGCAGGGGCTGAGCTGGAATTGGACACTGAACTGCAATGTGCACATGGAGCAGAGCTGATCCCAGGGAGAGACCCCGGGAGCGCTCGTGCATTTTGGGGCCATTTGGGTTCATCTTGGGGGCAGCCCTGGCTGGGCTCTTGTGCTGCCCAAGGTGCATCCATGGAGGAGATCCTTTGAATCCATCCCTGCTTTATTCTGGAACTCTGCCCAGCCTCTGTCCTAGGCCAGCCTTGACAAGCTGAACTGCACAGACATTCCCCTGCTCACCTGTGTGCCCAAGGGGACCAGAATTTTATGCCATTAATTCCCTTAAAAACCAGACAGGGACTCAGGTTCCTGCAGCAGAGCCCTGAAATTCATCTCCAAGTGCTCTCCCAGGACTCCTGGCCAAGTGTGACCCAGCAAATGCAATTTAAATGCAGCTTTTCTGCAAGATCACTGCCCAGCACTAGGCCCAGATGTGAGGCACAAAATTATCTCATTTCCCTGCTCCCTCCCTCAAATGCCATTCCCTTGGATAAGGAAGGACATGGGGATGGTGGAGCATCCTGAAGAGAGGTTTCTCAAGTCTCAGTGTTTGCTGTCCCCAGCTCTGCAGTAGCACAACAGGAGTGTGTGGGCAGAGAGGAGGCTTCAGTTCCTCCCTCCCCAGTTTCCTTATGGTTTCAGCAATGTTTGGGCTGCTAAATGACACCAATTTTGGAAAACACAGGAAAGCATTAGACAGAAAAACCCCCCAAAAAAAGGAACATATTAGTTGTCAGTCTAATATGTTCTTCTCAGCAGACAACCCACCAGAGAACCTGCTAAAGATTTATGTCCCAGAGAAAATACGTGTGATTTTCCCTTTCTTCTGTGGGAGGGAGAAAAATATAGACCCCAAAAAATTGAGAATCACCAACTACAAATTCATCACTAAGAAAGGAGAGAAGATCTCTTGCTTGGAGGCAAACAGCTCCAGCCTGAGCTGTTAACTGGTCATGTCACCAACAGGACAAGTCACTGGTGGCTTCTCCTGCAGCAGGGTCCTGCACCATTCCCTGTGTCCTGTCCCTCCATCCCTTGTCCCCAGTCCCTCTGCAGCTCTCCTGGAGCCCCTTCAGGCCCTGGAATGTGCTGGAAGCTCTCCCTGGAGCCTTCCCCTCTCCAGGGGAACATTCCCAGCTGCCCAGCCTGGCTCCAGAGCAGAGGGGCTCATTCCAGCAGTCCTGCAGGATCCAGCACAGACACTGAAGTGTCCCAGAACCCTCAGAATTGCCTCACTCTTTATCCTGACACACGCACTGACATCAGGACATGGCTCCCAGCTCTCTCCAGAACACAGCCAAGGCCCTGATCCTGCATTCATGAGGCTGTTCAGGAGGATGTTCCACCCACTCCTGCACTGAAGAGCTCAATCAGCTCCACACAAAATGCCAAACTTTAAGTTAAAATCTAAACAAATTTCCCCCCTTCTCCCATGGATGGAACAACATGATCAAGGGCTATGCTGGCTGTGAGACAAGGAAATAACTTCAAGTGGTGTTTCCTGAACAAGGCTGCTCTAATATTTTGACAAACTGCTTTTGTTTGTTTGTTTGTTTTCTAGCACTCGCCTACCAACTGGAAAAGGTCACTCTGTCTTCTGTGTTACTCCTCCCTTCTCAAAGGAGGTCAAAAATATTTCATATTTGCATGTTTTGTACCTCAGCACTGCTCAACACTGAGCCTCTCACACTACACCAGAGAGCCTGGTGCAGTTATTAGGGAGCTTTCAGAAATCCAACTCCAAAAACGAGCTGCAGAAAACAACTCCTCCCCCACAATTTGCAGCCCACCACGAGCTCCTGTTATTTGGTGAAGACATGGAGAGATAACCCTGCTGTAACGTGAATTTTCCTGAGTTTCACATGCAGAGATGCACAATGCACACGTACAGAACATTTTCCCTGTGAATTCCACTCGTGTGAGATTGTTCTGCTGTGCTGACTAAATTCCATTCACTGGGGCTTGAAGGAATTGCATTGCTTCCCTGAGCCACTTCCTCCAAGTTTTCAGCCTCCCCCAACAGCTTTAAACACCTTTAAAACTGAGTTTTCTGCTCCCTCTGCTGCAAATATAAGATCTCCCCTCCAAAAATTATCCTTACACAGAAAAGCGGGTTAGAGATAATTTAGGTTTTGGGATCAAAGGGTTTTTTTACACTCTAAGGTAAAAATATTTTAAGCCACTCCAGTGGAACTAAGGTACAAACACCAACAAGATTTTGAACAAAGAAATGCAGCATTTCCTCCCTTTCATGCCAGTCAATGCTCATCTCTTACCTTAAACCAGCAAGAGATTATGGATCTTAAAGTGCTGCTTTTATGCATTGTAAAAGCTCTTTTGGAAGCTTTTCTGACTCCCCCTGACAGCCAAGAACAATGAAACCTTTCCAAGGGGGTTCTTTTTGTTTTTCTTGGCACACTTTTCCCAGAGATCTTGGTCAGACATTTTCTGCCCAGCACAGAAAGCACTTTCAGTGCTTACACCTCCACAGGCTTTGAGTTTTAGCAATGCTGTTCAGGAACAGCCATCAGAAATCACTCCAAATTTCACCACACACCAGGGCTGAACCCATCCCAAACTCCCACAGAGGATGGGAATATCCAGCCTTGATGTTCTGCTGCACTGAAGGATCAGTCTGGGGAATGTTCTTACTCCAAGGTTTTGTCTTTCTGGAGCAAAATCTGCAGAACTCCAACTCAATGTTTTTCTGGGCCTCATGGATCACAGGAAGATGGCTGCAGATTGCCCATGCCAAACCCCTTCCACATATCCTTAAATTTAATTCTTCCCTTTTATTCTTCCCTTATTTATTCCCACTTCAGCTGTGTGACATTTTCTGTTTTTCAGAAAACCCCTCCTGAACCTTTGGCTGGACATTTCCAAGCAAATTTTTGCAAGAACAGTATCTCAAGCTGTGCCAAGGGAAATTCAGGTTGGGTGTCAGGAAAAAGCTTTTCCAGCAAGGGGATAAAGCTCTGCCATGGCTGCCCGGGGAGGTGCTGCAGTCACCATCCCTGGGGGTGTTGAACAAGCCTGGATGTGGCACTGGGTGCCAGGCTCTGGCTGAGGGCTTGGGCTGGGCTGGACTCCATGGGCTGCAAGGTCTCTCCCAACCCAGCCATTCTGGGAATTCTGTGAAAGGAGCTGCAAGTTTGTGGCATAGGGAAAAGTGATGGAGATTCCTTTGATAATAATTCTTCTAGAAAGACAAATGTGTGGGTAAGGAGTCAGTGAAGGGGATTGAAGGCTCACACCTTACATTTATCATGCCCAAGTATTTAAAGTCATTGGGATATTTGGGTAAGGAAAAAAAAAAAAAACTGCATCACTGCACAGTCAAACAATCCTGCAGAGCAACAGCTACAAACCAGCCCAAAACTGAAAAAGTGAGTTAGGGCAGGAGGCAGAGAGCATTTTCCATCACCAGCCCAGAGCTGGAATGACCAACATAAATCCTTCCCCCTCCTGTAAATAATGCCAGGCTCACTTGTTTGACCTCCTCTATCACACAGCAGGTGAAGTTCCACATCTGTGCACTGTGTATAAAGGTAATCTCCAAATAAAGAAATAAATAAAAACACACCAAACATGTGTTTAGTATAACACAAAACATACATCACAGCAAGAATGAGAGAACAGACATGTGACAGATGAGAGCTCTGCTGCTTGAGAGAGCCTCAGATCCCTGGGTGAGAGGCACAGCACCTGAATAAAGCCTAAGCAAGGCACAGCTTTAGTCTCTTGCAGTTAAGAGGAAGAATCAAATAAGAATTTGCTGCAAACACGCCGGCAGCAAGTGTCTGAGCTGCCTAAACCCAGCCATAATGACAGCAGAAGACAAGCCATTACAGCTGTGACACTTTATAAGACAGGCATGACATGGTAACACAGAACAAAAATGTCACTTTGAAAGCTGCTGATAAATCACTTGGTAGGCAAAAGGAATCAACCTTTCCAAACACCATAAGGAGGAATCCACGGGATTTTTTTTTTTTTTTTTGCTGATATTTAAGCTCTTTGGAGTATTACAATCTGTTGTAAATGTGGCCACTTACCAAAAAACCAAGATAAATCCCAGCACTACTGAGTGTTGAGCATGACAGGTATTCTCTGCTTCTGAAGATTTGAAATTTGCAATTTATGGGGTTTTGTTTGTACGACTTTGTATTTGTTATAGCTGCAGGCTGAAAACGTGCCCACCTGAGGGATTCTTACCTGCAGGACATCCTGGATCTTCACCCACACGTCCACCATGTCGTAGAGCTTGATGTCCCCATCGTGCTGGCTGCAGGGAGAGGCCACAGTCTGCTGCAGGTGGCCCAGCACCACGGCGTGCGCGGCGGCCACGGCGTTGAACTTGTCAAAGAGCAGCTCCAGCAGCTCCAGCAGCAGCCTGGCAACCACACAAACAGCTCTGCTCAGCTTCTGGAACGTTCCACGGGCTGGCAGCAGGGCAGGGGGACAGGGCCTTGTGGTTTCATGTCCTTCTTTTGTGACATGCTGAGGTCAGCTCTCTGTGGGATCAGGGGGTTTATTGTATTTGTGGGGTGCCCTCGTGGCAGGGAGGAATGATGGATCTGACTCCACGTTCTCAGAAGGCTAATTTATTATTTTATGATCTATATTATATTAAAGAATACTAAACTATACTAAAGAATACAGAAAGGATACAGACAGAAGGCTAAAATATAATAATGAAAACTCATGACTCTTTCCAGAGCCCTGACACAGCTTGGCACTGATTGGTCATTAAGTCAAAACAATACACATAAAACCAATGAAACAATCACCTGTGGATAATCTCCAACCACATTCCAAAGCAGCAAAACACAGGAGAAGCAAATGAGATAAAATTGTTTTCCTTTTTCTCTGAGGCTTCTCAGCTTCCCAGGAGAAAAACCCTGGGCAAAGGGATTTTTCCAGAAAATATGAATGTGACAGGGACTCACTTCAGCTCAGGAATCTGAACATTCCTGAGGCTTTTTCTCCTCATTCCCTTCCCTATATCAGCATTTCTCACTTTAAAAGTGTCCTGTTTAGGATTACAGGGAAGACAAAACCCATTAATAAAGCCACAGTAATTAAACTGGGCTAACATAATATTAGAGCCCATTGTGAGAGCACAGGCAGGGAGGGAAACAACCTGCTCTTCCCCCAGAAAAAAGTATGAGTCTCAGGGCAATAAAAACCTGACTTACACACACAACCAGGATAAAAGGAATTATTTTTGAGTTATTCAATTAATATGGCAGGCTTCAAATGACAGAAAAGCTAAATATCAACCCTCATCACTTGCCATGATTATACTCCTATATAGCTTATATTATTTTACTCCTGTTTGTTAGAGCTATAACATCATCTAAATGCACTGCACTCTATCTGCTCCCATGGTTCCCACTGCCCAATTATCATAATTAAAGCACCTTTGCAAAGCCCTGACCAGTGTGTGACTGTGGCAGCACCATCCCACTTGTTCCTGCTGGAGAACAGAAAAATCCCTCTGGAGTTCAGCGCCGTGTAATGAGCAACTCGAGTCCCCACGTAACCCCAGCAAAACGTGGAGATAACACTTCCCAAATCCATATGTTAGGCACTTGTAGCTCTGACAGACAGGCTCCATCACATTTCCTGCAGCAGCTTTGGAGCCACCACATGCTCCGAGTCTGCCCAGCAGAAGCTGCGAGCCCCAGGGCAGGACAGGGCAGGAGCTGCTCCCACTCCATCTCCAGCACCTTCAGTGCTCACAGGAACAGGGAATGGGACTGGGGACACCCTCAGGATCATCCCTGGGCATCATCCCAGGCTGCTCCAGCCCCAATGTCCAGCCTGGCCTTGGACACTGCAGGGATGCAGGGGCAGCCACAGCTGCTCTGGCAATTCCAGCCCAGCCAGGAATTCCTCATGGCCAAGATCCCATCCATGGCTGCCCTCTGGCACTGGGAGCCATTCCCTGTGTCCTGTCCATCCCTTGTCCCCAGTCCCTCTGCAGCTCTCCTGGAGCCCCTGCAGGCCCTGCAATGTGCTGGAAGCTCTCCCTGGAGCCTTCTCCTCTCCAGGGGAACATTCCCAGCTCTGCCAGCCTGGCTCCAGCCCTCTGAATTAATTTGTGACCATCTTGACTCAAACTTTTTGACTTGATTTTTTCCATTTTTACTTTAATGATTGTAAATCTGTACCACATTTTGAGGCCAAGCGTTACAGGAGGATTCTGGCCACTTCTCTCTGAAGTGCTAAGAGCTTCTATTGTGAGGGACAAAACACTCACTACAGAAGGGCTTGAACCACAGAAAACATTGGGCTTACTTTCTGATCACATCTGAATACTGAAATTTTACATCTTAGCTCTGATTAAAAAGTGCTAGCTTTCCAATAAACACTAGTTTTTCTCAAAACCTTCAGAATTTTTTTTTAAAGCTGACATTTCCCTAATTAGTTTTTTGAAGGTTAGCTTTGGCCCTGAGCCACAACATCTGTAACAAAAAAAATAAAAGAGCCACAAAAATAAAGAGCCACTGGAACCAAGATACCTATTCTAACAAAACCCAGTAAATTGTGAATGTATCCCTTTTCTTCATATTTCAGAACAGCAGCAAATGCTAAAAGATGTGACATTAGGGTACCAAATTAATTTTCTACCACTGAGAAAACGTTCTCAGTGCTGGCCCAGCTTCCTACAACATCCCATAGGGATGACAGACTCAGTTATCCCTACACCTCCCTGCTGCCCCAGGGAAGAACAGTTTTGCAGAACTGAACTACCTGAAGAGTGTGGCATTCACATTCTTTGAACATGATTCCTTCATCCAGGATTTCTCTCCTGGGAAGCTGAAAGGCAGCGAGAGGCCTCAGGGAAAAGGAAAACAATTCTCATCTCATTTGCTTCTCCTGCGTTGTGCTCATGTGGAATGTGGTTGGAGATTGTTTACCCACAGATGAGTTTTCATTATTATCTTTTTAACATTCAACAAGTACCTTTCTGTATTCTTTAGTATAGTTTAGTTTAGTATTTTCTAATATAATATAGTATAATAAAGTAATAAATTAGCCTTCTGATAAGATGGAGTGAGATTCATCATTCCTCCCTGCCCGTGGTGTTCCCTGCATTTACAACAAGAGAGTTGGACAAGTTCACTTTATTCTCACCAGGTGAGCCTGACCTCACATTATCCACCTGTTCATGGAGCCATGAGTAAGATAACACTGCACTGATCAGACCCTTTTTGTTTGGAATTCCAGTGTCTTCCTGCTCCCACCTTCCAGGCTGATGGATATGAAACCCCCAGATCCAAAATCCAGTGTCTGCAGCTGCCACCCCAGTACATTTTCCATTCTCATCACTGTGTTCCCACATCTCCCTGCTTTCAGCTTAGCCAGCACCTCTTATCTTATTTCCTTTTCCCCAAAAGTCCTATGAATCTGTCAGGTCATTTTTGAAAGGAGTTGACCCAAAAGTGACCCAGGCAACGAGACAAAACCCATCAAATTAATATATTAATATATATTTCAAATTGCATCAGATGGTCTGGCCTGGATGGGGCTGGAGCAGGGAGTGCCCTGAGCTGAACAGGGACACACAGTGACAGGAAAATTTGTCACAGCCACCTCATAACCCCTGCACTCAGAGCCAGGGGAAATGTGCTGGGGACAGTGACACCAGCCAGGAGGGACTTCCATGGTCCAGGCAATAATGGGAGTGAAGTGGTGCCCAGGGACTGCTGCCACCTGAGAGGGGACATTGGTGACAATTCAGGTGTTTCAGGCTGTGCCTGGTCAGAGGGATGGCCTGGACATAATTCCTGTGTTTGTTTCAAAGCCTGGAGATGAGGGCAAAAGTCACAATATCACATGGATGTAATAATAATAGGGAAAAGCACATGGAATCCAAGTAAGAGGATTTAGGAGCAAAAAAGTGTCAATCTCCCATCTCTTCATGGACTGGATTTGTAATGTTTCCTTACCAAAATGTCCCATAAATTTGTCCCTCAAGTAGGCCATTGTTACCATTGTTATTCTAAAGTGCAAACTCTTCCAAAACTCAGGAGAGCCCCACAGGTTTGTGCAGCAGCACCCCAAGGAAACTCAGCACAGCCTCTTCTGGGCCACTCTGTCCTCCACAACCCCGGAAAAGGATTTATAAATGTGATGGTGTGACTAATGAGCCACTAATTAAGGATGAGGCAGTGGCAATTCCTGTAGTTAAGCCTTTCTCCACAAACTTCTTTGAAGCACAGAGATCTAAAAATGTTAAGAGAATTTCTCTAGACTTTAAAATTGTCCACTTATAGCTGAGCTCAGCTAGAATGTGGTGAGATTCAGGCAGAGTTTTCAAAGTTATCTTTCCCCAGGGACAAGGAGCTACTTGGAAGCTGCTCCTGCCCTTCCTGAAGCTCTGAGGATCTGAGAGAGCACCCAGAGAGTCATCACAAACCAGAAAAATGTGAAGTTTAAAAATCTGGGAGTCATTAACAATATTTTTATACACAAATGCAAAAGATGGCAGCACAAAGCTACATGGAAAAGCTTATTAAGGAAGGAAGGAAAAGAGAATTAAATTAAAAAAGTAACAAGATTGAGATCAGCAGTGGCTGTTGTCAGATCTGCAGCTTTTCTGGCCAGGTTCTACAAATCATTTCTGTCTTGTACAACAAGAGGGGCTCTAAATCATTGCTGCAGGGGGTCTCCAAAGGAATTACACCACAATTTCCCCAAGCAGAACATCAGCCTCATCCTTGGTCACAGAATGGTTTGGGTTGGAAGGGACTTCAAGGATCATCTGACAGCCTAATGAACAGTTCAGCAGTCCTGGGCACTGCACTGAGCTCAAATTTGGGGTCTTACAGAGCTCTGTTGAAGCAGCAGGCCCTTGTTCAGATTTATTTTTCCCCTGACAGCAGGAAAGTCTCTGAGCTTTGATTTAAAAGTGAAGCTAATTGAAGGGGTGGGGACACCCTTCCATCCTGTAATTTATTCTTTTCAATATAAATGAATTCACCTGCTTGCTGTAAACTTCCTGTGTGATTTAGGTTTAGAACCAGTTCTAATTATGTCTGTACTCCACAAGAATTCAGGACATTTTCCATGAGCATCTAAAAGGCTCACACTCTGCAACAGATGCCAAAACCCATTAAACCTTTGTGTGCCTCACTCAACCCTCTGGGCAGGTTAATGGCATTGATATATGACCTGATCCAATTTATCAATTCCAACAGACAACCAGGAGCCACACAACCTCTCCAGACTGGTTCATAAAATAAGTATAAGAGTATGTTATACTCCTGGCATCAGAAACTAAAATTCTGCCTTCTGACCCATCTAAAAAAAGCTCATTTTCACTGAGTTACCAGCACTGTAACTCTACAAAGTCTTCAAAACAGAATTGTTTCCACAGCAGTGCTAATGAGAGGAATTAAAAAAGGAGTTTTTATCAAGCTGATGTTTTCCCTGGGAGTGATTTTCCACTACAAATATTGCACATAATGAAGATACACACTTTACTTTTCTGCCATAAATTCCTTTTGGACAATGATCACGACAATGTGGAGATGAACATTTCAGCTGGAAGAGATTCCTGCTGGAATCCTTGTGTTCCAAAGGCCAGTTCCAGTGAATTCTGAGGAGCAGCACAAACACAGTGCCCAGTTGGCTTCCACACTTTGCCATTAATGTAAATGGGGCTGCAAAACAATTAGAGACTTGGCCATACAATTGTGCTAGAATTAGTTCCATACATGATTTCAGAGCTTTGCACCTGCATCAGCTTAATTGGACTCTGCTACACTCGAAATCACCCAGCTGAATTTTCTCATTTTAACTCATATTATCAATTAGGAATTTTTTTTTTTTTTCTTGCAGCAATCAAGGGCTGGGAGTTGTAATCTCCTTACCTAGGCTGATTTTCCTGGGAAATGTTCTCCCCTCTCTGGTAGCCATTGTCAGCCACCTGAGTGGTGGAGCGCTTCACAATCTGCTTGAGCTCCTGTTCCAAGCGATCCTGGATGGCTTTCACTGTTTCTGGGATTTTCTTCAGCTTGGCCAGCCCCTTGATGAGGATTCCCATGAAGACAGCACTGTTCTCCTCTGGATCCAGCTCTGTGTCCTCTTTGATTTCCAGAAGGCTCGAGTCTCGCACTGGAAGAGATTTTAATTCCAGATTTTAGCAAGAACCCAACATCAGCACCCTGAAGAAGCAGCTTGGGAGCTCCTTTGGCTTCACAGAACTCCCAGCATGTGGAGCAAGCAAGGATGAACAAGGAAACCAGAAACACTTGGATTTTGAGGGGAAGCAAAGGATGTTTCTATTTGCTTGGGGGCTTCCCTGGACATAAACACAGCAGTCCACACATTGGATTGATTTAGGAACAATTGATTTAGGAACAATTGATGATTTAGGAACAATTGATTTAGGAAGAATTCATGGTGAAAATTCCACATCAGGAAATAGAGGAACTCTGGCACAATCAAGATATTAATAAATGAGAAGGTTCAACATGCTTCACAGAACTCCCAGCATGTGGAGCAAGCAAGGATGAACAAGGAAACCAGAAACACTTGGATTTTGAGGGGAAGCAAAGGATGTTTCTATTTGCTTGGGGGCTTCCCTGGACATAAACACAGCAGTCCACACGAACAATTGATTTAGGAACAATTGATTTAGGAACAATTCATGGTGAAAATTCCACATTAGGAAATAGAGGAACTCTGGCACAATCAAGATATTAATAAATGAGAAGGTTCAACATCCTTACAAATCCCCTAAATGTGTTTCAAGGTGCTAAAACCCCCTCAGTTTCCTCCCCAGCTGGTTTTCCTTGCTATTTTGTTCCCAAGAGAGGAATTTTCATTACAAACACTATCAAGCTTAAGAGACTGCTGATGAATTCAGCAAAGTTTACACTGCCGAAGTGACTGATTGTTTGATTTTATCTTTTACTGCTTTATTACGTCTGTCAAGGGGTTGATGAAGTTCCTCAAATCTTGCAGCAAGGCTTCTAGAAGGGTAAAGTGAGAAGAATTAGAGAGGATATTGCAGATATGGTCCTGAAGTAACGGGGATTGCACAGGGAGAAATCCTGTTGCTAAGCGACAGGGGATGGGAAAGCAGAGATTCTGCTTGTTTTAAGGAGGTTCATTAAGCAACATTTCTTAATTTACAGATAACACCCAGCAACAACAAAAGCGTGCCTCTGTTAAAGACTGGGTGAAACATTTAATAAATATATTTAAACACTTATGTGAAGTAAGTGTCTTCAAGGCAAACTGAATTAAAAGCATCTTGGAAGATCTACAGCCACATTGTGCCATGCACCACGCCAGATCCTTGGATCAAAATTAAAACCCAAAGGCTGTTTCATCTGACTGGGGCTGAGCTCTGAAAAGGCTGCTGGGTGACAGATGACTCCCATGGTTTCAACTCCTCACCAGATTTTTTTACTTTGAAACTTTTCCAAGAAGCTGAAGGAATGTCAAAAGATCCAGCAGAAGGGTGGAAGGAACATGGCAGGAATGAGGAATGGCTGCCTGAAGCTGGGCTCTGACCAGAGGAGCAGCACCAATGCTAAGGCAGAGCAAGATCAAGAAAACAATGGCCCAAGAGGGTGCTAATTTATAAATAATCCCAATAAAAGGGTGCCAGTTTACACCAACCTGAGGCTCAATCAATCAAGAGGCTGCTTTTCTTTCCTGCAGTGTGATCCCAAACTCTGCACCTCTGGCTCAAACCAAGCTCATGGCTCACATGGTCCCAAATCTGAACCCAGAGCAGCAGGTGAGAGTGAGGAGAGGATGGACCCCTGCATCCCTGCAGTGCCCCAGGCCAGGCTGGACACTGGGGCTGGAGCAGCCTGGGATGGTGGCAGGTGTCCCTGCCATGGCAGGAGGGTTGGAGTGGATGACCTTTAAAAAGCCCCTTCCAACTCCAAACTATTCCATGATCCTCTGACAGTGAACACCAGGAAGATCAAACAGTGTTTTTTTTCCTCTCTCACACACACTTCTTTCAATTAAATGTGAACAAGTTACAGGACAAGCAAGTAGAAACACCCAGAATGCAGTAATTAAACAAAAAAAAAAACAAACATCAAAAAAAGCAAAGATAAAATAAAGACATTTCAAACACCAACTGGAATTTAACAACTGGATGCAGAACTGTTCCTGCTGAAAGCTCTGCTCCATCACACACCTTTCACCCCACAGAGCTGCAAAGGACTTTGTGGCTGCAGGCCTGGTCTCTGCCCACTCTGTTATTGTTATTTGTTGTTCTCCAAAACCCAGAGCAAAACTCAGGCACAGACACAGCAAATGAGCTCCTTGGAACCAGAGCTGTGAAAAAACACTGGAAATGCTACAGGAAGAAAGCCTTAGCCTATTCTTTTTTTAAAAAATAACCCTAAATATTTTGTTTCTCTGAGTTCAATGCAGATATTTCCCAGCCTCTCAGAGGACAGGTCCTGTCATGAGGCTGCACCCTCTTTGTAAGCAGCTTGTAAATTATTCTTAATATCACACAATGAACATCCAAGAGGGAGGAAATGGAGCTGTAGCCAAATGTGAGGACAGCATTTAGGAGGAGTAAAAGCAGCAATCTTGCTGAGAACTCTGCCAGCACACTGAGACAAACTCTTCCATTTTCCAAAGAGCAAACCAATTTCCAGCATCCTCAAATAGTCAGGACATTGATTTACATCTCTCACAAACAAGAGCAAAGTGAGCAATTCGGTATCTGGGAGCTGCACAGGGCTCTGGAGGCTCTGTCAGATCTGGGAGTTTGATAGCACAGTGGGAAGCTGTTTTCAGTGTGTTCCCTGCACATTGTCCCTATTAAACAGCATAATGGGTGGCTTTGGGGGCCCATTCATCTGTGAGATCTGACAAGATCCCAGCCCTGGGTAACTGTCCTGTCCTTTCCTCGTGTCTTTCACACTTCAAACATCCTCTCCTGCCATTTAATGTCATCAAGGGGTTGTTTGACCACAAAGCTTTGGCCCAGGAACAAGCTCCTCCTGTCTCCTTCCTCTTCCAAAAAGGCACCAAAGCACCTTTATTAAGGAGTTCACCTGGAAAACTGCAGCCCCACGTGCTGCTAGAGGAGTCCCTAGGTGAGAAAAGCTGTCCCTAGAGATCAGCTCTCAGAAGGGAGAGCTGTGTCTGTATTTACTCCTGAACTAGGAATATGAATAACTTTGTTATTTTTTGGGATGGAGAAGTTCTTCCTAGCTTTGATTCTTGGAAGGAAGTGGGTTAAACCCCTAAAAGCTGAACCATGTGTAACCCCCAGAGCTAGAGGGGGGAGTTTCCTGATCCCTGCTCTGATGATGCCCTACAAAAACCTCTGTTCCACCTGGAATTCATTTGCTCAGTGCTGCCATTTCCCCAGGAACCAACCTGCTGCAAGGAGCTTTATAACAGCTCCGTTCTGATCCCTAAAAAGCCAACTTTGGGAACTCATTTAAGCAAAGCAGCTGAAAAAAAAGGCTCTTGGGTCTTGTTTTTCATTCCAGTGAACAGCCAAAATTTGCTGCTCCTCATTATGAAGGTTTCATTATCCACAGGCTTTTATGGGAGTCTTGTAAAATGTAATATACTATTTTCCATTATTTATGTCCTTCTGGTGATATCCTTTGTACCTTCAATCCTTCCAGAGAAAAGCACACGAGCTCTTGGTGGCCCAAAGGCATGATTTTAGATTTGAAGGAACATCACCTGCTAATTCTTGGTGCTGAATCCTTATTCATGGAGCTACAAACTGGCAGCTCCTGCAGAAATGGGTCCTTGGAAGATTTTGGGAATTTTCTGCTCTGCATCACTACCAAACCCAGAAGAAAACCCACTTGAAAATCCTTCTAATCTATACAAGCATCAAAATTAAGTTTCCAAATAAAAAAATAAGTGAACTCTAGCCAGTTATTTGATGTTGGGACCACACACAGGAACAACTCATGAAATTACACAGAAAGAGCAATTATGTGTTACTTTCCTGGCTTTCACCACATAGATCTAAAAATCTCCTTTCCTTCCCCAAACATATCCCCAGATCATTCAATTCTAACAAAAAATGATAAAGGCATTTTACCCAGGCCATAGGAAGAGAAGAAATCTTTTGAAGATTTACTGAGCCCCTTGGGAGTGGAGGCACCTGTGACAACGAACTGGCACAATGGCATTTTTTAGATTCACCCTGAAAATTTGATATTCCAAGCTCTGGCTCCTGCAGGGATTCTGCAGGAGCAGCTTTGAAGGTCTCCACATGTGGAGAAGCCTCTGGTTCTTGAAGAAGGAGAGCTAGGAGCAGTTCCTAGACCTGACCTTGGAACCACCACCCTGCCTGGCCCTACAAACTCTTTTTGCTCCAAAAAAACCATTGAAATAAATTAGCAATTCAGCTTAAAATCTACATATGCCACCCAGAGCAGTATTTATTGGCACCAGCAGCTCATCTTCTGCTGGATTTCTAAGAAGTATTGTCCCAAATTTCCCAGGAAAGGGCACTCTTGGGTTTGTGAGCACGTTTTAGAGTTCCAGGAAGAGCCTGGCAAAGCAGGAACCTTCCTAAATACCCTTCAGAGTACAGAAAGTTCAAGCAGAGAAATATAAATTCATTTCTCTGAACTGGCACGAAGGGAAAGTGTTACTGGTGAACTGCCACATCTCCAATCCTCAGGTGAGCATTTCCAAAGGATTTGTTTATTTTACGTGCGGCAGGAACAGCTTTAATTTCCTTATAAAGATTCTGCAGCACAAGGTAACATCTCCTCTGGGAAGGGAGAGCAGGAAGGACTCCAAATTTTGGCATCTTTGCTGGGATGGGATGAATGAGTCAGTGCTTTAGAATGGCACCCATTAATGTGCACAGACACTTTGTTTCATCAATAAAAAGCCAAAGAATTTAAGTGACTACAGGCAGAAACAGCTTTTGTTATGCATAGGCATAAGTTTGAAATTCTCTGCTAGTTGTGCAGTCCTGGAAAAGGCTACTTTTAAATGAAATTACAGGGAAAAAGAATCTACATAAGTACATTGTGCACTTGAAGCAGAACCATATGCATATTTTATGCAGATCAAATGTTTTCTGTTAGAATCCACATCTTTGCCAGGCTGAGGGACACTTGCCCAGCACTTCACTGAGTGATGCTGAGCACAAGGAGGAGCCAAGGAAGAGATTTTCTGGTGCAGTGGGTGAGAAGAGCAAGAAGAGATCTGCTATAAAAAAGATCAGGAGGGGCATCTCCTGCTCTGTTCCCCAGCCATGAGGGGGGAGAGCCCCATCAGCTCCATAACTTCAGACCTTTTGGGTTTTATTACTACACAGAAGAGCAATATTGTAGGGGGAGGAAGTAGCAGACACTATAAATATCACTGAAAATGAGTATTTTAACATTTAGAGGGGCTGGAACTAGATGGTCTTTTAGTTCCCTTCCAACCCAAACTATTCTATTTCCAGTGGTGAGGCTGGGATTCAGGTTTTTGTGGTTTATTTCCTCAGTTCCTCAAAATCTTGTTATCTTTTGCAAGAAAACTGAACTGAATTTCTCACTGATCACAGAGCAGAAGAGGAATTCTTGAGTTTTTCCCTCAGAATTTTCATATGGTTCTTCTCTTCCAGATTTTGAGTGACCAGGCTGCAGTTTCCAGCTCTGGAAGTTTGTGACTCCTCACAAACCTCCAGGACACAGAAAAACAGCCCCAGGCTCCAAGACCAGCCTGGCAGGAGCAGAGCTGAAGAACAAAACCCCTCCAGGAGCAGAAGATAAGAGCAATCAGACAGAACAATCTGGGAGGCAAGTGTGACAAAACTAGAAACAAAAGGACAAAAGAATTAATAAGGCTGAAAAGAGAAGGAAATATTCTCTGCATTTGAGGAATACTGAAACAGTCAGGTTTGAAAGGGGAAAGAGACTGGAGGTCACTTCTGTATTATTCATCAAGGACAACCCCACTTATTAATCTCCTGAAACAATACAAAGATTAATTTCCCCTCTCTGCAGCCCTTCCAAAGCCTCAGACAAAAGAGTTTTCCTTGGTGTTTGTTGCAGTAACAGGAATAAAAGATCAGGCCCAGATTATTCCTGTGTACAGCCAGACCTTTAGTCAAAGTTACAAAGCTCCCACAAGGAACAGATTTGACCTTTTGGCTCCCAGACAATAAAAAACTTCAGTAATATCTACACAAACCTGGCAGCCTGCAGTAAATAATGCTGAGGAAACCACACAGAATGAACCCACTGCAAATCTCTGCTGCTCAAGATATCAAGAACACCATCAAGGTGAGAACAGGCACAGGAAACTGAGTGTATTTAAGAAGCTGGTGAGGGTTAGGAGAGGGAAAAGATGATTTTCCATGAGGAAAAAAAGCCAAGTTCTGCCCCTGGACACAGCACCCACTCATTTTGTGACCCTGCAAAATCACCTCCCAGGTTTTTGTCTCCCCTGAGCCATGAGGGGATGATTTGCCTCTTCCTGCTCCAGCAAAATCAGCTGAAGATCTACAAATGAATATATATATTTATATCTGGCTTAAATACTCACTGCTGGAGCTTCCAGGAGTACTGAACTGGGAAGTCTCAAGGAATTTCCGAGGTGTAGATAAATTAGTGACATCCATCAGAGGCACAGGAGAGGAGTCTTTCACAAGGGACCTGTGGGAGGGGAAAGAAGTAAAGCAAACAGTTGATTATTATTTACAATACTTGTTCACAACAAATAATCCACTTGTTCCTTACATTTTAAGCCTATGAAACGGATTAAGCCTAATAGATGTTCCCATTTCCATGCCTTCTGTCAACTTCTAATCCTCCAAACTTCTTTATTCCCTCTAGACACCTCCACCCTTTTCTCCTGCCCTTCACATTCCTGTTTTGAGCCCACCCATGTACATCACTTGCCAAATGAACCTCCTAACTCAAAAATTAAAACATTTTAAAAATTCACATCGTATTAGTTGCCAAAAATGCGTCACACTGCCCCAGCTGCTGGACATGGCAGGGGGACACAAGCAAGAAATCATTTTTTAGGAGAAAGAAATGTGGAAGGTTCCTACAATGGAGCTCAGGATGTTTGCTTAGGGGTTAAAATGCTCATGGAAATGTGCAAAAAACAAGGGTTAGGCTTGGTATCCTGCAGAAGAACCAGCCAAAGCAACAAGGCAGCCTTGCTGCAAGAGCTCCTGTTATCAAATATCCACAATGTGCATCAGGGAAAGTGAAAAAAGAGAATCCAGAGTGAGAGGAAGGTCCCTGTAGCAGCCACAAAAGTGCAATTAATTAACAGTCCCCCAGTCTGGGTACACCAAAGCTTTGTGGCTGTTTTTAATTAAGAAGATGAGTAAGGAAGAGACTGATGACTTGCTAGCAACCCTCCTTTCTAGAAATCTCAATTTCAACCAATCCTTTCTTCCATAAATTCATTTAATGCAACTGGATATCTTGCCTTGCAATTTTGGCAAGCAGATTTTTATTTATTCTCACAATAAAATGCTCATTTATCTGTTCTCTGCATCTCTATTAAGTGCTGGCTCCACTTATGCTCCCCACCTCTCCTACTCTGCAAAAATTATCTCCCAACACTGCCTCTCTCTTTTCCAGCCACTTTCTTCCTCAGAATTTGCAAAATCAGGAAAAAATAGCCTATGTTAACTGAACTTCCACTGACCACAGGCAACAACCAGGTAAGAAGTTTCAACACCTTTAAAACCCCCTGGGAACACATCACAACCAACACATTTCAGCTCAGACACTGAAGTATTGTGGCCTCCATCTCGTCACCTCATGGTTGGGCAGGAGGCTTTTAAAACTTGGATATTTCCTAGAAAATGAACAGCTTTTCCCTGACCTGAGCCTCATGACCATGACATTTGTAGGAGAGGGATAAGATCAGGGACGGGAGGGAACGCACAAAGGAGCTGTGGGAAACAGCAAAACCCCAAGAGAAAAGAAAGAGAGCTGAGAAAAGCAAAAGAACGCGAATGGGCTTGGAGGTGTAGAAAATCTGAATTTTCTGCTCTCCAGAGCCACAATGCTGAGGGACTGGCACGTGTCTTGGCTTGGAAATGGGTGTGTGTGTTCTACTTGCCAATTGTCAGAGCTGGGGCAGCTCTCTCTGTTCATGGGCAGTTTTCTTTATCTCTCCCACAGCCAATCCTCCCTCCAGGAGATCTCTGCTGTCCATGGCCACTGAGTGTCCCTGCAGGGCTGATCAAATTCCAGCATCCCATGGGGAGATGCTCCGCCCAGGGGAGGAGCCAAGCATTCCTACCTGGATACAATCTGAGCCTGGAACAGCACAGCAGCCTTTGCCCACTGCATTCCCAGAGGAGCAGCTTTCTCCTGCCCTGCATTCCCAGAGGGAGAGCAGGCCCATCTCCAGCAGCCCTGGAGCTGCAGAGGAAAACTGCAGCCTTGTGCAGGATCCCTGCTCCAGCAGAAGCACAGCTGGCACTGCAGGAGGGCTGAGCCCCCATGGGATGGGACTGTGCCACCACCCTGACCCACAGGGCTCAGCTCCTGCTCTCACTCTGACAGTAGTGTTTTGTACTACTACATTTGTATTTTTATATTTTCTTTTAATATTTTTTCCTAATAAAGAACTATAATTCCTATTCCCATATCTTTGCCTGAGAGCCCTTTAATTTCAAAAGTACAATAATTTGCAAAGAGGGGGTTTGCATTCTCCATCTCAAGGCAGGCTCCTGCCTTCCTTAGCAGACACCTGGCTTTCCAAACCAAGACATCATGCCAGAAATGCAGTTTGGGTGGCAGTTTGGTGGCTGTGGCCGGGGCAGGCTGTCCCACCCGAGGCGGGCTCTGTCCCTGCCGCGCTGCCCCACGCGGTTGGTGGATCTGATGTAGAGGTGCCGGTGCAGCTCGTCGATCAGCACCAGGTGCAGGTTCATCTTCTTGCTGTGCAGCTCCAGCCTCAGGTCGCTCAGCCCCTCCACCTGCAGGAGGGGACCCTCCAGGGAATCCACTGCTGACACCTGGGGGGGAAAACAAGGGACAGGTTTTACACATCCATTCGTTCGGCTCTCACTGTCAATTCATTCAGTTTTGCAATTTTCCGTGGCTGTCATATTTTCTGGAAAAATCCCTTTGCCCAGGATTCTTCTCCTGGGAAGCTGAGACGCCTCAGAGAAAAAGGAAAACAATTTTATCTCATTTGCTTCTCCTGTGTTTTGCTGCTTTGGAATGTGGTTGGACATTGTTCCATTGGTTTCATGTGAATTGTTTTGACTCTTTGGCCAACCAGTGCCAAGCTGTGTCAGGACTCTCTCCAGAGTCACAAGTTTTTAATTAGTATCTTTTTAGTCTTCTGTAAGTATCCTTTCTGTATTCTTTAGTATACTTTAGCATTCTTTAATATAATATAATATCATAAAATAATAAATTAGCCTTCTGAGAACATGGAGTCAGATTAATCATTCCTCCCTTCATCTGGGAACCCAGTAAATACAATAATTTTCCTCTTGGATTAGGGAAGTATACGAATCCCAGGATTATTCTAGTCTTAAAACCTTCTAAAGCAGAAAATCTTGAAGTAATATTTCTTTATTTCTATTCCTAAATAAATTATATAGAAGGGTCCAACATCCAAATGACTCAGATTTAATGGGCAGCCTTCAAATATTAAGTGTATGTATAAAACAAGTTAGTGAAAACACAGTTCTTAAATAAAAATCAAAGCATGGTTTATCCCCAAATAAGAGGATTATTAAGCAGAAAAGTGTTAGAAGAAGATAGTGACAATAGTGTTTGATGGTTGCTATTCTTTCCATTACAGAAACACCAAAAAAAAAACATTATTCTAAATTCTGCAAATGGGGAGAAAATGGCTTAAATTTAATTTGTTTAAACTCATGACTGAAAAAGCTTAGGAGGCCTCATCTTTTAGGCTGCACAAGGACTATGTCCTGTGGCTACACCATTTGAATATCTGAAATAATGACCAGCTAACATCCCACGTGCACAGAAATTCCCTAATTTTCTTTTCTGTCCTAAAAATAAATGTGGACAAAACCCAAACACAGACAAAACCCACCAGGAATGACAAATCAGTGCCTAAAAGCAACGCTCTCACCGTGCATCCCTCCCAGTTGGTTTTCTACTTAACAGAGATTTCCAGTCACTAATAAATAAATGATGGCATCCCTCTGCAGCTTCCAAACTCTCAGTGCTGATGTTGTAAGAAACTGGAAAGAGCATGTTTGGCATGCAGAGGTTTAAAATAAAATTTAAAAACCCATTCCCTGCTAACTGAGGATGCTGTCAGTGAAATAAGACATTTGCTTGCACTTCAGGATCTCGCTTCAGAACAAACCTGTCAGCCAAACATTAAAAATTAAAAGCAAAGATACAGTGAGCAGCCAGCCCAGCCAAGGGCTGCTCCCTCAGTACCAGTAAATATTAACTCTGCTGAAAGAACATCCATCACCAGTGTGTTCCTTTGCTGGCCTCCAAGCCCAGGAAGAACTTGGAATATCCATGGGACAGCCAAGCTTTTTATATTAATTTTTAAATCTCCTCACTTGCCACACTACACTGTCCATCCTCTTTTTTTCCCTTATCCATCTGTGGGAACATCACACATCATGAAATCACCCCAAAAACGATAGGAAAACCCAATTTCCTTCTCCCCAGAGGAGGTGGCAGAGCTCACATGAGTGAAGGAGCTCAGCAGACACCACGTGGGAAACTCAGGCAGAAGTGGAAATGTTAATTCCTCTCCTCTTCCTTTGGCAGGTGGAGTTTTTTCCTCAAGTTTCCCCATTCCAAAGGCACTCTATGAAAGAACATCCATCACCAGTGTGTTCCTTTGCTGGCCTCCAAGCCCAGGAAGAACTTGATATATCCATGGGACAGCCAAGCTTTTCATACTAATTTTTAAATCTCCTCACTTGCCACACTACACTGTCCATCCTCTTTTTTTCCCTTATCCATCTGTGGGAACATCACACATCATGAAATCACCCCAAGAATGATGGAAAATCCCAATTTCCTTCTCCCCAGAGGAGGTGGCAGAGCTCACCCAAGTGGAGGAGCTCAGCAGACACCACGTAGGAAACTCAGGCAGAAATGGAAATGTAAATTCCTCTCCTCTTCCTTTGGCAGGTGGAACTTTTTTCCCCCAAACTTCCCCATTCCAAAGGCACTTGAATCCCCTCCAGTTTCTTCAGAGGAGCTGCAACTGCCCTGGGAGCTGGGCCAAAAATCCCACCAGAGCAAGGAGCAGGAGCAATATTTATCATACTGAGAAACTGAGAGACAAAAAAAGCAGCCAGAAAAGAAGAGAAATCCAGAGCAAAGTGACACTAAAAAAAATTCCAAGACATCCAGGAAAAGTTTTCTCTGAAACACAAAGAATTGGAATTTAAATTTTCCACCCAGCTCTGTTTTTGTCTTGCCAGTTCCTAAAGAGTTCACTGCTCACCAAAAGTATTAAGGCCAAAATACAGCTCTCAAGGACATATTTTAAAGAAAAAAAAAATTGAATATTCAACCATTTATTGTACTCATGTTTATGGAAGTCAAAGAAGGTCTCCAGTTAGTTTAGATGACAATAGAAATATTATGCTAAAAACCAAACCAAACATTTTTCCTCTCTGTAGTTTTGCTTACAGAAAGATGATTTAGGTCCTGGCAACAAAGCAGCACCCAAGATTATATTCCAGAATAAAAAATATGAGATTAAAACCTTTGTGTCCTGGGTAAGCCAGCCCAGAACAGCATAAGCAACAAAAAGGAAGCAAAAGCATTAATAAAAAAATGCACAAAATTAAATATAGACTAAAGGCAGATCAACAGTGGAACTTTAGAAGGAACTTTTTTGATTTTATGGCCCCTCTCAGCCCAGAAAACACCAAAACTTGGATAATGCAAGAGATGCCAATCAGCTGTCCCTGGTTTTTAACAATCCCATCAGCTGCTGGCTGCATCCAAAAGCACTAAAAGATGTGGAATTGGATAGAGAGAGGCAGAGTTATCCTGCAAGACTCCAGTTAATACTGATAAGGGAAAAGCAGCCCAAGAAAACCTGGAAATGAGATGTACAGAAGGATTACAAGCGGTTCCAGGCTCCAGAAAAAGCAGCTGATGATCCTTCTTGGCTCTTTTTTCTACACACAGAGCTCAGTTAAACAGAAATAAAGTGATTTTTGTTTGTTTTTCTGCAGGGGGATCACGGCATTGTGTTAGACTAGCTGGGCACAAAGGATAATTACAGGTAAAAGAGCTCCCCCACATTAATCTTTTGGCAGGGGTTGGGGTGCAGAGAGGAGCCACAGCAACACAGAGCAGCTGGAAAAGGAATCAACAATAAACAAGTCATTATTCTTGTGGAAAAAAAACTGCTTTACAATGAGCAAATTGTACCAAAAGAATGGGCAGTGCCCACCAGCACCTCCTTTAATTCTGGAATTCAGCTCTCACTCCCATTGAAAGCTGCTCATGAACACACAATAAGTGTAATTTAGTCAAACACTAATTAAAATATTGGCCTGGATGAGCAGAGAATTTGGCTTAGATGATCTGATAGCAATTCCTGATGTTCAAATCTTCTTATCTCTCTCTACTTATTAGTACCTACAAAGAGCAAAGACCCTTTAGGAAACAGAGATGAAATAAGCCTGAAAAAAGAGCTGTGCTTTGTATAAGCTAAAAATTGCAAGTTTATAGAAAATAACCGTGGCACCAGCACCATTAGGCAGCTTGTTTAAAGGTCACAGGCAGTTTATAGCAGGGCTTAATTGCCTTAAAAAGAAAACACTGCTAAACACTTGCTTAGTGTAAGAGGGAATTTGGAAGTGTTTAATTCAGCATTTTACAACAAACGAGAACCTAAGTGCTAACAAGGTATTTGTCAAAATTCTTTCTTTACTGACTTCAGCCAAAGTTTCCCAATCTGCTTACACTGAAATCTTTTTATTCCCTCAAGGGTTTTGCTGAACCCCCACAGGCCTGGAAGTGAGCAGAGATAAAGAGAAAAGTCTCAAATATTTTTTTCAGGAAGGGGAAAAAAAACAAATAATGATAGAATCATGAAATCATGGAATGGTTTGGGTTGGAAGGGACATTAAAGATCACCCAGTCCCCATGGGCAGGGACACCTCCCACTGTCCCAGGGTGCTCCAAGCCCTGTCCAACCTGGCCTTGGACACTTCCAGGGATCAGGAATCCACAGCTTCTCTAGGTGAGCTGTGCCAGGGCCTCACAACCCTCACAGGGAAGAATTCCTTCCTCAATTATTAATTATTTTACTAGAAAAATCAAATCCTTTCGAGGTGGGAAACCAGTCTGTTCTGAATTTGCACAACAGATATGAAAACATGAACACACAACTGAGAAAGGTTTAGAGGAAACAATGTAGTAGGTCATAATTCCAGATAAAAAAAAAGTTATACACAAACACAATCTGACAAAAGGGAAAAAGCTGAGCCCTCAGAATAAAAGAGTGAATAAATAAGCAACAACCCAGAAGGTTCCAGCTGCCTCGCTGGTGAATACAACAATGCTGACATTTAAAAGGAGAATTGATCTGCTGCTTTTACAAGGGACTCACTTTCACAAGGTACAGGAAAGGAAAATGACTAAAAACCAGCTTAAATAAGTGTAGGCAGATCTAAACAAGCAGGTCACTGAATTCCATTTGCACCTGACGTGCAGGAGATAAGGATTGCTCTGGAACAGGGAAGTGCTCACACTGCAGCTTTTGGGACTTGGCAGTGGGCAGAGACACAACACCCACAAATGCTGATCTCTCTTTTCCCTAGAACAGAATTCCCAGAACAGCCCCTGGGTCCCTGGAATGCCCAAGGCCAGGCTGGGCACTGGGGCTGGAGCAGCCTGGGATGGTGGGAGGTGTCCCTGCCATGGCAGGGGTGGCACTGGATGGGATTTAAGGTCCCCTTCCAACCCAAAACTGTGAACCAAAGTGCTGTGATGTTGGATTAAGCCCTTTTGTGACCCACAGATGGGGCAACTGAAA